CTTGATTTGTGCTCGTCGGGTGTGATCTTGTGCAAACGTCGTCATTTTTGGGGCATTGTTGGCTGACAATGCTAAGCCTTCATTTCATGGCACATCCTTTTTTGCTCACATCACCCATTTAGGGCGCATTTTTAATTGCTGCTGGCCGCCCGTGGCGTGGTAGCCATAATACGACGGCCTTGGAAAAAATTACTTCAATCGCACGGGGAGTTTGCGACTGTGTGCGTTAGATGGCGCTGGTGTAGCGATATTCCCTGCCGGTGCAGCACACTTGCACAATCAGGAAATCTATTTCTTTCGGTCCACTCCGCGACAGTATCTACGTCAATGTTTGCGGGAAGGCCACAGAGGCGATATGCAAAGTTACAAGGTTCCGTTTAATATACTTTTACTCGTGCGCGGCGGTCTCGACCTTGTGCACATTGCGTCATTGCCGGAGGGATATCGACCGGCAATGAAAGTTACTTATCTGCCGACATGAACTTTCGTAGAGGTATGTTTGCTCAGACACACAACAGCGTGGAGGCGTACCTGAATACAATTTAAGGCCCGCCCTCTGGTGGTGCTGCAACCTGCATGGTGGAGTGTGCGGTTTTCCTGTTCCTTTTTTGCTTGGCAGAAGCGCTCCTATCATTAGACATGCAGCACCGTCCTTTCATGAAATAAAAAATCTTGTCCTTGGCTGCTTCGCAATGTACCCAAAATTCAGGCATTTTTCAGTTCATGACAGATACTGAAAGGCATAAATAGCCATTTTGGTGGTCTCCGTTTGCTATAATCTGCTGATTTTTTTCAATCCGTGCGATTCAACATAAAAATAATTTCTTCAGAGATGAACAGGCTTCCTGAGCATTTGCAGCTATTGTAGCTGGTTTGTGTGCCACTTAGACACTCCTTTCTGTTATATTTCAGAGCGAAATTATGTCGGCTTGGTAACCACTTGCATTCAGAAAAGTAACGAGAACTTCATATTTTATACTGTATAGGAATCAATTTTTACAAGTCGTCTCTAGCACATTTCGGCTATCGCTTTAGTTTTGCAGGCTGGTAAGGCCATTGCTATCCCTGCCGCACTACATTCTCAATACATTCTCTGCTCATGGTGATGCATAGATCATGCGTAAGGATATTTCAGGATGTGATAACAGGTTTGCTTCAAAGCCTGCAATGGCACATAGATGTCGAAGGACCTTCGGGACCCTTAGGATCCTGCGATATATTCGCAATCTTGAATCTTTTCTAACATTATGTCGAATGATCTTCTGGGATCTTGGAACCTTTTTCGGAAATTTTTGTCAGAGGAGCTTCAGGAAAACTTTTCCTGAAGCATTTTTTAAACTTTTCTCGAAAAATCTTCTGATGGTTCTCTTTGGATTGAATTTTGTCGAAGGATCTTCTGGGATATGAGATCTTTTCGGTGTGTGAAGTGGTAGGTGGTGGAAGTATGATATTGGCAGATGGGAGCTTTGGACTTTAAAAAATAACTGTTGACTCGTGAGAAGGACTAGTGCCAGCAATATTGTCACTACTTAATTACGTCTAGCGGTGTGAAATCTGGTCCAGCTAGCTTCACTGTGACAGGAGACGACCTCCCAGGCATAATTAGTCCGTGATCTGTATGAGGCTGGTCACGGTGTGCAGTGATTTGATCATGTCGAAAATCGTTCGTAGGACGATAGCGTATTTTACCCTTGGTCAACCAAGCACACTTCCGGGGAGCACTTTTCCGCTGGAAGATGATGTTAACAATTTTTGATAACTTGGGTGAAGGAGAATTCACCTCTACGGCTAGCACGCGGGACAGACGATGATCACAGTGGAAGCGAGCGAGCCAGTTGACGAAGCTTAGGTCTTAAAGGCAAGCGTGTCAGTGTTTTCATGGCAGAGCACTACGCAGTACGTTCCTGTCGTGATCCTTTGAACCACTCCCAACGTCTGCCAAACACCTTTCTTTAAAGATCAAGCAAAGTCTGGCATCCGACCAGCGTCTCGCGCACGCTTGCTGTCAGACCGAAGTGCCCAGCTTGGGCAGCATTACTCGTAGCGTGCTTGATTTCAAAACGTCGACGGTGAAGTGAACGTTTTCATGCCAACCCCGGAAACGTTGCTGCGTCCATGCGTGACTGGGCATCCGCTCGTGAAGTTTTGGTGATTGACGAAAATCTGTTGAAGAGAGGCTCTCGTAGTTGTCGACGGCATAGAGATCGTTGTTGAAAGTCGTATTTGTATTGTCAACCCACTGCATAGATTCAATGCGAAAAAACACAATTTTGCTCCAGATGTAGGTCTTCAACTAACCACCGTTACTGAACGTTAGACCTATGTTTCAGAAGCGAGAATTACACATCGAACATAAGTCACCTGATACAGTTGACAAAAGACAGAAAAGAGGGTGCGAGTGCTGTGGAAGAGAGAAGCGAACAGCTGAGGACGAATGACAAAAAAACGAGGGCGGAGAAGAGCACAGTTGCAAGGGGAAGCCAAGACGACGCAGGTGGAAGGAGAACCGTAGGAAATTGTAATGTGTTAGCAAAGGAACAGGCAAACAAGGACTCGAGACGATTGAAAAGAAATAAACGGCAAGACCTGGCTGGGTGCAGCAGGGCGCATAGCTCTGGGTGCCTCACTCGGTGGCGGCCGGCGCCTCGGCGGGCGCCGCCTCCGCCGGCGCTGCCTCGGCAGCCGGCGCTGCCTCAGATGGCGCCACCTCTGCCTCAGGTGGCGCCACCTCTGCTGGAGCCGGCTCGGCGGCCGGTGCATCGGCTGGCGCCGCCTCGGCCGACGGGGTGTCAACGGCGTCCGCGGCCGGCGTCTCGGCCGGCGCAGCGTCCGTCGGCGCTGCGGCATATTTAGCTCCACTTAGTGCCAGCTGTTTGGAGCTGACATGATCTCGGACGGGACCGCGGTGCTATTTGTGGGGCGTTCTGTCGGCCCTGGCGCTGCGTGGCTCGTGTAATCTGTCATTAAGTTGGAAACTAACAAGAACCATCGGCGATGTCAAAGCATAGCTAAACGTGGACGGATATGACCTTGAGCTGTCGGGAAAGGGTCGAAAATGGTTGTCAACCGATAGCGATGCTCTTGCAGTTTTTTTTTCTTTCGTTTCCTTTGGACTAACTATTAGCACCCCATCTTCCAGCATGGGGCATGCATTTCCAGTTCGCGTTGAATCAGTTAAGTGAGTTAAAAGTAGCAATCATGTAAAAGAAGCACTACGCAGTTCTATCACGTCTGACGGTGGATTGCTGCCGTTCGTCGAGCGGATGGGGTGGCACCTACCTTCCGCCGGTGCCGCCTCTGCCTGACCCTCCTCGCCCTCCTCACCCTCCTGCGGTAGCGAGAAGAGCCGTCAGCCCACAGAGTCGGCCTCCGCACGCGCCAACAGCCCTTCACTGTGGTTTATGTCCTCTCCTGCTCTCGGGGCCCGGTGCAGACAGTCGGGGTCCTCTCCCTCCACAGACCAGCACAGGTCAGCTCAGTGACGACCACGGTTAAGCCGTGCTGATCAGCGGCAAAGCAGCCCTGGGTCACCTAGACACGGGCTGCGGCTAGGTGATGCTAGGTGACCTAGTCACGGGCCGCGGCTAGGTGATGCTAGGTCACCTGGTCACGGGCTGCGGCTAGGTGAGGCTAGGTCACCTAGTCACGGGCTGCGGCTAGGTGATGCTAGGTCACCTGGTCACGGGCTGCGGCTAGGTGAGGCTAGGTCACCTAGTCACGGGCTGCGGCTAGGTGATGCTAGGTCACCTAGTCACGGGCTGCGGCTAGGTGAGGCTAGGTCACCTGGTCACGGGCTGCGGCTAGGTGAGGCTAGGTCACCTGGTCATGGGCTGCGGCTAGGTGAGGCTAGGTCACCTAGTCACGGGCTGCAGCTATTTGCTTTAATGACGTCATAGCGTCGTTTAACCGGTGTCACTCCCGTGACCAGTACCGTATGGCGTCCGGAGGTGGATTATTGTCAAGATAATGAAGTTCAAACACACAGCGCTGAAAAAATATACCCAGGCCATTCTCGCTGAAATCAAGAAGTCATAATTGCTATGGCTTCTGATGGCAACGTTCCATCATTTACTTTAGTTACAGAGTAGCAAGATGTTATCCGAGCAATCCAGTGGTTATTGCCCTGTCTCCTAAGGACTTGGGAAAAGGTCAAGGACTGGCAGACCTTGAGACACGTTACAAAGATCTCGGGAAATCAGCTTTGTTCATGAGATATTTGAATAAACAATTGACCTGATCATATTTTCAAAGATTGGGGCTTAATTTTTCACCCACTACCTAATAGCAACACCGATTTTGGGACGATTATGATCGTCTTCATGGTCACTGTCTGATTAGGAAAACAGTTAGCCGGGTGGGCGACTGCCGACCCCAAAAACCGGCCAGCCGCAAACAACCTAGCGCTATAAAAGACGCGGACACTAATCGGCCGCGCGCAAAATCGGATCAAAATTTCTCTAGTGAACGTCATGTTGATTTACATTGTTACGTGTCGCTGATGACAGCAGAGTGACTTCGCAATGCTACATTGGTATATTTCCTTTAAAGCAGCTTAGTAAGCCAGTTTTAGACAGGATCGCTGCCAGGCTCACCAATTTCTCAAATTATGAACCGATTCAGGCCGTCACCGAGTGATAGTTTTGCAGATGGTTGACACCGTCCAATTTTGTACAAAGCATCAAAATATCCTCGAGGTGTATCAACCTTACTGTCACCATGATGTATCTGCACCCACAAGTAAAATGTCTTGTTCTTGAACAAGAGATAAAACATAACAAAAACAGAGCTGGGTTTGAATTGCAGTACACTTACATTTGAAAGGCCACGCTCCATAAGCTGAACAAAAATTAACACGAACTCCGTCACACTTCGGTTTCATTGACGTACCTCAGACAAAGGTCGGGTCGTTTCTTGGAGTCCCGACTAGATGCGACAGCTGCTACGGTCAGAACAAGATCGCTCCTTCGAGTTCTGACTAGATGCGACAGCTGCTACGGTCAGAACAAGATCGTTCCTTCGAGTTCCGACTAGATGCGACAGCTGCTACGGTCAGAACAAGATCGCTCCTTTGAGTTCCGACTAGATGCGACAGCTGCTACGGTCAGAACAGGATCGTTCCTTCGAGTTCCGACTAGATGCGACAGCTGCTACGGTCAGAACAGGATCGTTGCTTCGAGTTCCGACTAGATGCGACAGCTGCTAGTCAGACCAGGCTGCTACTCACGAATTCTCCCTAAGCTACAAACTGCAGTAGAGTTTTCCGTGTGTATCATCATAGTGCAGGCACGATCACGCTTGAATTAGGAGATCCTCAACATGCGAGAAAAGATGCACGCCCACCAGACTGGCACCACCAAAATACGATTCCACTAACTGTTCTACTGGATCGACACTGGCAATCAAGAACGTACCTACAACTACCACCCTGTTAAACACAGCATTCAAAGGGCCTGCCAAAGAGGCTTGGTCGCACCAGATAACGACATTTCTCGCGAAAACTGAACTACTTATCCTGACGCTTGAGCACCTGAACTTGGACCTCAGTTCCCCTCCTCTACTCCTCTACACACTAACACACCACGTCCTTTACGCCAGGACGCCAGGGCCACCGCGAGCTCTGCTGCAAAAGCATGTGCATGCCGCTGGCAATGGAAAGCTGCCATCGACCAGCGCGCGGGTGCTCGGCTCGCGACACCAGTTAGATCACCTGCTTCTCCTCGTCGTGTTTCGGGGCCCAGTCCGGCTTGCCGGCCTGCAACGGAAGTCGTCGTCACCGGCGCCTTGGCGAAGAGGCTAGGCAAAGCTCAATGCTTCCAATCCAAGGGGACCGGCGGCCACACTTGGCAGTGGGGATATGTTTTGCACGCTTGCATACCGTTGAGACAGCGACGAACAGCTGCTGTGGAACAGTTTGTAAGGAATGGGCACTAGGCAAGCAACACATTGTAGGTAAAGGTACGGCCAGAAACCAAATGTCCACTGGAACACCCGGGTTGTAAATCAACGAAGTTGTGGAAACTAAATATTCGCTCGATGACGACAGTCTGTGAAAAAGGACAAGTGTGCTGGTCAGTTAGACGCCCGCGGTGTGGATAAAACAGCAACTACCAGCGGTGGGAAATAAGTACCAGAGGGCGGTGGATCCACGACTGGGCGTGCGCAGGACTTCGCTGCGGAGGGCACGATTTAAAGATTTCCCCTGAAAACCGACGCAAGCGCGCCGCTGGCTCACACGATTCCTTACGTGCCAAAAATAGTATTACATGTTCTCGATCTTTCTATTTTGCGCGCATTCTTGAAATTTTTTTCTGTTGACGTTTAGTCACGTACATCAGCCACGTCAATACATGTACTCAATTCGATAAGGGATGCCACGTGTATCCGGGGGCTTCTAAGTGCGCACGTCCCCGAATCCACGGAGAGACAACAAACGAGGTATGTGAGGCAGCGTTGTGACGAGGTGCCAGAGCTCGAGCCGTGCGGGGAGTCAGAGTGTGAGATCTGTGGGAGCCGTTGCCGTTGCAAAAGCTCACCTCCCACACGCTGCCTCTGTGCCCTCAGCTTACGGGCGTTAGCGTTATGCTTTGTCTGCGCAATGTTCAGCTAACAGACTGCTGTTGAAACAGTATACATTTTAGTCGGCAACGACCGTCGCGCGCTAGTAGGCTGTTGCGCGTGGAGGCGGTGGGTGGCGGCGTGACGGTGCACAGCGGGCCAGTCAATTTCAAAACCCCCCGATGATTTAACCAAATGGCTGATCTTGAGAAATGTCAGATAATTTTACGCGCTGAGTCCTATTTAGAAGCCCTTTTTGGCGTACCGGTTACAGAAAACCCAAGAAAGGGGTGAACTTTGTAAGGCAAGTTGAGGGTGATAACATCCCTCACTGTTGTTTGGCCATGAACTGAGCTAGAGCCACAAAGTGAACACTTTTCAGCCACTTGCCCTAAAGGGATGCCAACGATGCGCAGAATTAAGGTTTTGAATCAACTGGTTATGGGTGTAGGAATGAGGTGGGGGGGGGGGGCCATGAGGCCATGAGGCCATGAGGGCAAGAGGCCATGTCCCCCAGCTTTTGAAGTTAGGAGGCCAGCAAAGTTAACTGGCTCCCACTTTTTGAAATTTAATTTACGTTCAGCATGCTTCTGTGCTACCTTAATTTGAGCCCGAGATGATAACTGACGTACACCTACCGATTTCGCCCTACATAGCCATACTTCGAGGGTGATTAAGCACACTGAAGTAATGAAGGAAATCATGTGAAAACATTACTTGAGGTGTTCTCATGTAATGAGCCCACGATCCGTTTACCATGACTTTGTAGTGACTCCAAAGCATACTCACTCAAGACATTGCAATGGCTATTTTTCCGTAACAGTATGCCTCGCTGAAAGCTGACTGCATTTCCTGGATCCTGTTATTGCACGCATTGCAAATTATTCTTTACTTGTTATGCGTTGGTTTCTCTAATATTTATCAAAGGAATGGCTCCAACAACGCATTCGATGTTCACTTTTGCTCACCCTGTTCGTCGCATCGAATGAATGAATGAATTTATCATGCAATTAATGACAAAATGCATTCGGCACGTGCACTTTTGGTTGCTTTATTTTAAAGACTTGCTAGCGGCGACTGAGCGATCAACCGGTGACATTTTGACGAAGCAATAATGTGGTATTGCATCTCTTTGGGCAAAGTTGATGCTTGGACGGGATTATGCACGGAATGGCGAATGAATATGTGGTAAATGCAAGCAATGAATCTGTACATGCGGCATTGTGAACTTTGTCACGACCTTGGCTATAGTTTTGATGATAGTGGGTTGTATTCGAAACGTTTTTGATATGCCGACATTCTCGGCTCGTCCGACGATTTCTGGTTCTACTGTGCGTTGGAGAACTTCGTGTCAGTCACAGTACTTGCGGGCGGTACGCTGGTCGACGCTATGAAATTAGGCTCTCGCCTCCACCTTGTCTGGCTGCCGAGTTGTGGCAGAAAACATAAAAGTGTTAAAAACGGTCAAATCCACATTGACCGCTTCTAGCTTCCAGCATGTACAATCGCCTACGTTATATGGCGCGATTCTCAATCAATTGTCAGTCAAACGATCCCAATTTCTGACCGATCCAGCACCTGGTTACCGAGATGTGGCCACGGTTTCGAACTGCTGCTCGTCGGCTTTGTCGTGGGTCACATTTTGCCTCCCGTACAAAACCGTTCCGCAGCAAACCCCAGATGACAGCGGCTCGCGAGCTACCTGCAGAAAACCGCCTCGAGCGCCGGCGCGTTGTGTCCAAATTTCGTCATTCAGCGATCAGCCGTTCAGCGCGGGCACGACGCAATGCAAAATGGGCCAGACAGACATAAAGACAGATGCAACCTATGCAACTGGTATATAGATCTGAAAGGACTACCAGGCTGCGGACGCCTATGTATATATATATATATATATATGTATATACATATATATATATATATATACATATATATGTATATATATATATATAATATTTGCATATTTTTGTATATAGGATTTTCAGCATTTCTTGAGGTGCTCAAGATAAAAACTGACTAACGCACGCACAGAACGCTTTGGATTGAAAGTCATGTTTGACGTTTAATTGTGTGATCAATGCTGTTCATTGAGTTTCGCCTGATAGGACAGAACCAGTAATACGAACCTTTCAGGTGTCGAACATGTGGGTCTCAGTCTTTGCAGGCTTGTGATTTGGTGGTCGATCATTGAAGTATATATAACCCATATATTTATATTTACACTCTCCCCACTCTACCATGTGGTGAGCGCCCGGGGTTGGATACCTGAGCCAGCTGATTATTTGACGTGACAGATGCCAGCTGGCAGGAGGCGGAAGGGTCTCCACCATTGTCGAGCATGACCTTGTCCATGCATTGGGGGAATGCGTAAAAGGTCCTCCAGAAAATTTCAGGCAAAATTTTCCAACAAAATGGGCGAAGTGGCAGCCTTAACCAGCTATCGCTGCGAACTGTTAGGACGAAACTGGAAAAGAAGAGGCAAATGCATTTTTCAAAAGCACTGCCAAGAATTAAGTGGCTCAGCGCAAGCAGTATTCAGTAATGGAAGGCAAGAAAGATCTCCGTCCAAGTTTTGCTCGTGTGGAACTGACACGAGCAAAATTTACTGACAGTCAAGTCGATGACACAGGGCGCCGAGTCGTGACATCTAGACAAATGCATTGCATGCACTGTGTATTACATGAGGTGCAGAATGCCGCACTGGTTTGCCCTTACCCGACGAACGCATCTGATAAACCCTGTCCCTGAACGAGCACCTTTCAGAAATATCTCCCGCAAACTCATGGCTTTTTGGTCGTCGTTGCTCTCCGCAACGGCTGCCGGCATGTGATCGAACGCGCCGGCACCTTCCCGAAGATTTACTCCAAATGAAATGTGCATTTGAAACGATGGGCATCACATGGCTAACGTATGAGGGCTTAGTTAAGTTCATTTAGTTCATTATATCGTGTAAGATGAAAGCACAATGAACAACACGGGCGGTTCATGTAAACAGCAAACATGGAACGGGCACACAATGTGATTTATGCTTGGTTTAGTCAGGCCTTTCTGAAAACGCCCAATGCTGTTTTAACGTTTTATAAAACGTCTATAAGTAATACATCGGTCCGGCAAATAGCATTGCAATGCTGCCTAAGTAAATCGGCCGCGAAGTTGGGACATTTTAAGTGATGTCTGAAACTTATTACCAGACAGGGTAGCACCGGTAATTTTGTAAAAGTTATGTCAAACTCCGGAATTATCTAAAGGTCTACTTTTTGCCTGATATGCTGGACTGCGCCAAACGCCTACGACAGATTCATCTTAAACTCCAAGAACCTATGCTGAGCAGACTAAGCAGTCAGGCAGGCCAACCAAGGTTGCATAATAAAGACAGGACAGAACCTCTGGTTCTAGAACAGCCTGGAGTTTGTCCTTGCACATGCCTGTTCGCCGCACATGTATGCAAAAGATGCTGCTATTTACCAGATAAAGCGGCTTTATAAAGCGGGTTTGTGGGGGATGCCTGCTGAATGAAGTAAATCGGCATGCGTGCTTTCTTCCCCATGGGTTAACGATTACTTCTTGAAAGAGATAAAATAGAGTGCTCAGGAGTTTAAGACAGCTTCCTCCAAGCACGTGCAGGCGTATAAAGAGGGGGAGGGGTCAACGGTCAACGACCGATTCCCGGTAAGGTTGCAGGCGATTCACATCATGTTGCCGCACGACAAACTGGCTTACAGATAAGGTTTGCCTTCCATGACTACATACGGCTCCAGTATTAGCGTCTTACACCGGGTCCCGTCAGGCATCCCGGCGGAAATGGGTAGGATCGGCCAGGAAATTCTTTGAATGGAATTGAATGCATACCGAAATAATGCAAACACAGATCATCCATAGCACGCAACAGGTCTTCACGCGCGTCTTTGAAGAGTCGGCTTCGTTGCTTAACGAAGCAAGCCCGCAAGCATTTCGCAACGAATTAAGTCTCAGTCCGTTAGCATAATTCACGGAAGTTGCATGAGAAGCTGACAATACAAACAACGTCAGCCTCTGGCCTACCATACCGGGTTACGATATCCCCACACAACAAATGTAAGCACGTATTTTGTTTGAGAGCAGTGGGTACCTTAGCCCTAATATACAACAGCGGATCAAATCGGCTATATTGAAAGAGATGCAGCTGAATGCCCGGTGGTCTAATTCACGCCTAAGGCAGGCAGTTTCCCGGAAGTCAATTTTATTCTGTGTAGTAATGCAAAGAAAGATAATTCGGAAACACGTGCAGTAGCCAGCGTTCCATCTGCATTATGCGACAATAAGTAGCGATGCTGATCGATAAGCATGCAACAAAGCGGTTGCGCGATCAGTTCGCATCAATGAGTTTTCGCATATGATAATTTTTCAGTAATGTGGGGGACTACCGGTCCAGGGCAGTGGCTGCCGACGACGGATGGGAGCAGGGCTTAGACAAAGGGCATCTGAAAGAAGGGCCTTCATTCCGTGACTTGGTTTAATGCAGGAGAAATCCCGGTTTTATTGATTTTGTCACATCTTTTTGGCAGGTAGTATTTCAAGCTTTTCAAATTGTTCTTGCCTGGAATGATGCGACAAAAAATTATCTTTTGAAAAGCAGCCGAAGAAATCCTGGCGCACGAAAACTAGCGTTCTATGAGCATTGAATCGAATTCGAATTTCTGAACAGACTGTGCGCAGGTCGCATTTTGATCTTCATGCTGTAGAGTTAAATGGCTCCGCAATAACCCTAAATCCCTATCCGGGATTTCGGTGGTGCAATTTCGCCTCCCAAAGGGGAAACAATGTTGAAATGGAGGATGCACTTTAGGGAGCTGGTTGGTCTCATATACCGGAATGGTGCAGTTGAGTTGAAAAGGTAAGTTTGTGCAGCAGAAAAAAGCAGCTGAAGGTGTATCAAGAGGGTACAAAGTACTCCATCCTTACTCTTCCTCCCCTTCCCCGGCTGCCTGACTTCTCTCTCGGGTAAAGTTCCTTAAGTATATCTTGAACCTGCTGCCCTCCACCGCCTTTTGAAACATTCCTACGCCCATGCAGCTGGTGACCGCCCGGACCAAAACAATGAGCCGGATTTTAGGGAAATATGTACAGTTTACGTTTGAACAGCCACAGGTCAAAGCTTGAATAGGAAGATACAATGGATGACAAATGGACAATCTTATAAAGCAGTTTAGACCCAATCCCAATATTATACTCGACGCAATTTCCGGTGAATTGATCAGGCCAGGTCGGAAAAATTGATAGTGGGTCTGAATAACACAAAAGCCTTCGAAAGGAAAGGTAGTAGATGTGGTAGTTGCACCTAAATACCTATGAAACGCTCTTGAAACTTAGAAACAGCGCTCTTAATTACCTCTGACATGGCGTAATCTACAAAAGTCAGCCGGGGTCAGCAGTGGTCAACAGCGGTCTGTGACCTTGGCTGGCTTTGAAAGGAGTCATGCTATTATACACAAACGTTGTTTTCAGCACGTGCCTAATTTTACAACGATGGCCATCCTCCGCGCCGTTACCTGTCATTGGTCGAGAGCTTCGACGGTTGCCTCTGAACGCGTGCATGCAGAGACAAAGGTAACAAAGGCACTTGTTCTCTGGGGGCAAAGACAATTCTTGCACCGTATCGCTATTTGTTACCTCAAAATTTACCACGTTGCAATGGAAGTGCATGTATCAGTCTACAAGATACACAAATCAACGGCATTTTGATCTCGTCATCAGTAAGTATCAGTTAACGGCGTTTTACTCTCGTCATCAGTAAGTATCAATCAACGGCATTTTTATCTCGTTATCAGTAAGCATCAATCAACGGCATTTTGATCTCGTTATCAGTAAGTATACAGATAAATGACGGTCAGATATGCGTGCCAACATATCATATCGTAGCATTTTACTTTATAATACGCCACATGTTACATCCTCCGCTTTGCAACAGGACTAGCCGCCATGTCCTGCGTTCATCTCCGGTCATCTGCAGACCTTTCAATACTGATCTGCTTTGCCTTAGCCTCAGTGCGTCCCCGGGAACTGCGGTCTCCTGCCAAATCAAGCCGTGACTTGTGATCAAAAGCGGCTCTGGGCGCGACCCGACTAATCGTGCATTGACCCAAGCAGGGACAAGGCGGCGGCGGCGGCGGCGTTCCTCACCGGCCGAGAACGCCCGGACGTGCCACAGGAGCGTCTCCCCGCCGACGCTACTCCCCACCATGTGCGGCGGCCTCGGGGACGTGGACAGCGGACAGAGGACGGGGTGCGAGCACGGCTTCTTCTGCCGCCACACCGCCTTCTCCTTGACCTGACAGCGGGCTGGTGTTCACCGGCGTAGCGTGACACCAGCGCCGGCGGCGGTCGCGACGTCGCTGGCCGATGGCCAGTGGTTATTCCTGACCGACGCGCCGGGCCGGGCGTCACGGTCGGCAGGGCGCGCCCCACAAGCCCGCCAGCGCGGCGCCCGCCGGAGAGCTGCGTGCACAGCTGCTATTTACAGTCGCTGTCCGGTGTTAACTGTTCGCAGACGCTGGCTATGGCTCCTGCGGGAGCTGTCGGCATCCGTGTACACGAACGACACGCCACGACTGTCGCCATGCGAGTTGGGAGGGTACGCAGACTCGACATGTGTTTTATAGGTGGAGTGGACGGTATATAATACGGTATTGATGTCATTACAAAATTCGAAAATATTTTGATCCTCGGGCCCTGGTAGGCTTTGAGCCTGTATCTACTGAAATGCCAGCTACTTTTTTAATATTCCCTGATAAAAATAACAGGTCTGATAAGTCGGACGGATAGAAATTAATTCTAAACATTTAGCAAAACATCAAGCTCAGGGTCTGAGGTGATGTGTGGCGGAGAAGGCGGCCATGAAACGCTAAATTGGCGAGGCTTATTACGTGATGGTTAGAATAAATAAATGCATTTACTCGCGCACCCATTATGTAAATGGCCGCATGAATAACTGCGACCATTTACAGTGTTACAAAACAAGAAACCAAAAAGGGTCCTGCTCCCGTAAGAAATATCAGAACATGGTCTTCTCCTAGTTTGGTACAAGCAACGTCTTGTCCAAACCGACATGCCCAGAACTGTGACAACTTACGCTTGAGCGCCGTAAAAGCATGCAACGGCATGTCATGTAGGAAATTATGTTACTCGTTTTGAGAGATGGGACTGACAATGGTATCTAGCATAGTTTTTAAAAATTTGCTCGTTAAAAGATAGGGATGACTAGCACCGTTTACATCATATCTATCGCAGGAAACGTTCGACCAACTGTGACTGATGACACATCTTGGATGCAATCTAGACCAATCAGCGACCGGCCAGGGCCGCTACTTAAAAAAAAATATTTGGAAGTCTGGCCGAATGCTGGCTGTGCGGAATGTCTTAAAGTGAGTGGATCTTAAACCTGCGCCCAGCCGGAGTGTTGCCCGCCGGGGGGAGGGGGGGGGGGGTTGGAGTTGACTTCCCCATGAGATATCCAGTTTCCAAACGCCGTATGGGAAAAACAAAATGTGTTTGTGGAGGTCTCGTGAAATTATGAAGAATGCACACGAGATGCTAGGTCTTAGGTCAATTGGGAAGTCACCAGGGGTCATGAAAGGCAAAAGACGGCCGTTCTAATAGATGCAGTTAAAGCCTATGTTAACTCATCAAGATACTAAGAGCATGCAAATAAGCATTGAGACCGTGCAGAGTCCATTCCAGCCGTTTCTATTTCTCCAAGGGTCAGGTCAAATCTGGTCACCGTTCAAAATCGGTAAGCCAGTAGCCTAAATAAACGATGCTTTTTCACAACGTGTTTTGGCTAAGTTGGTTTATCAGGCGCAGTTCTTGGAAAAAGCATTTGAGACACAAAATTTCATTTTGAGTTGACGAAGAAGCCAAATGATGTCAGCTTAGGCCAAGTTTATGAAACATCCAAATGAATAAACTGAGGCGCTAACTGGGTCTATGTGACCGGTGCAACACTTTCTGTGGTCAGAAATAGTGCGATGTATATGCACAGGTACTCAGGACTGCGCAACTGTTGTAAATATTACACATAGTACCTTCAACGCTAGGCAATCTGTAACAGACCGAGGGCAGGCACGTATGTGCATAAAATGATACGTCATTAGCTTCATAATCACGATAAGGAGGTGATTATACGCGTCGCACTCGTTTAACTAGCCTCTCCGCTACTGAAAACATGACTTGGATGACCTAAAATGACCTTGCATGTTTTCACGTAACCTGCTGTCAACTCATTATGAATAAGAATTAGATCAAAACACGTTTTCACTAGAGTATTCGAATTTGGCGCCCAAGGAATAAAACTGCATATTTCAAGCTAAGCATGTAGTTTGTAAAAGGCGCCCATTGAGGTAGGTCATGACCTGGGCCAAGGTCATGTGCTCTGTGGTCAAATTATGGTTGTGTATGTCAGTTAGTACCCTGTTCCGTATATACAAATACCAAAACTATAAAAAATGGTACAAATTTGCATGATCTCAGGAATGATAAAAAAGCTGGCCTTACTTCAGGTCGCTGAACTCGCTTGTTTCGAAAGATATGAAAGATATAAGCTGTATGCAGTATTATGTTCTATTACTGTGGCAAGTTTAAACAATGACAAATGACCCAAAAAATGACATTTAAGTTTTTCAGAGTTGACCCCTTTAAGCTGACTTTGGTTACTGGCCTTGGTAAATCAAGGCTTCAGATTGGCACAAATGATGTTAACTTGATAAATAAACAGGCACTGAAAATTTCGTGTTGCTACAAGCGTACGTTCTTGACCTGTGCTCGAAAAAAACCATCGGAGGAGACAACTCCCCCGGCCGGGCGCTGGTTGAAACAAAAGCGCTCACAATCGTTTCAACGCTGTCAAACCAGCATTTTGCCATTTCTAGAGAATTATTCTTGCAGCCACCGTAGCCTATGTGGCAACAACTGCAATTATTTGTAAACGGAGTTGTGTTAGTTATAAACGGAGGAGGGCGGCGCTGCAGCAACTGTCCTTACGTCTTTCTCTTCGTCCTCGAGTGTGAATTCCTTCTTCTTGACCTGTTTCAGCTGGTTTCTGAAATTGAATTCAGCCGCCTTCTTCTGCAGCTTGGCGAATTTGTTTTCGTATTTCGACACCTTCTTCAGGGTTGGCTTGATACTAAAAATAAATAATGCATATTGTTAGAAAACGCTAACACTGCTTTCATTCCACGAGCCTTCCCATCCAAGGGAAATATGATGAGGTATGGGAATCTGGTCGAGGCAAATTAAAAGCGACGCGAAGAAAAAATCAATGAGCGAGTCCCTTTAAACGAGCCTCATAACGAAATGAGGAAGGGGATACAGCGCTTACCACGCATATAAAAGCACTCACAATTTGCCGCGAAGGTCGTTGACGGAGATGTTGAGCTCGTTGATCTGAAAGACAAGAACATTTAGTGCACAGGGTCGGAGAGCCCTGTTAACAGACAGGTCAAGAAAATCCCAAATTGATGGGGCTTCACAGTGAAAGTTCACTTACAAGGACTATGACCCTAAGCCAGTTTCCACAGAGAAATCGAAATCTTGCAGAAGTGCTATTACTGAGAGCAGTATTGATATTTTATTTCGATACGTTGCTACATAATAATAAGACGCCATGCCTTCAGATTATGACCGAACGGAGACCACACCATCGGAAACTTGATCACGCAAGGACGAACAGCAAGCTTTATTGAAGTCTCAACAACTTTACTGTGCACAGCACGTATTTCTTTGCGTACCGCTAACAATCTGGACTGACAGACCATTTTCAACATTGCCAGCCACACCAATATCTTCTGCTACAAAATATGGATGTGCCGTTGGCTGGTTGAAGTCAACACCTTATGAGCGATTTCATTGTATAAATCTGAAAGGCATCACAATGCGACTGGCTTTTCGAATGGCTTACTATCAGATTAAGTTGAGCGGCCTCAGCAAACATCCTATTTAACATTATTCCGTGTGTGACAGGAGCACCGCGGCTGCACCGCCCTTCTTCCGGCGAGCCGCCCCCACGGCGCCGTGGCCGCCCGCGTCGCAAAGCTATTTCAAAACACTTGCTGCCACGGCGGCTGCCAAAGGCGTCAGGCGCCAAGCGTCAGACAAGGGTCCGGTGACATCATGGCGAAAGCGTGCCTCGGGTCTGGCTAGCTACTTGAGGCCACTCCCGCAACAGACCACGCCCCAGCCCCTCCCCCACTACTCACAGCTGGGGTGGCCGGGCTCCTCTCATCACGCAGAGCTCTGCCCCGCTCGGACTAATTCGGCCCCTAGTCATTGCGTGCCGGCGTCCGAGCCGTCTAGAGCTCTGTATGCGAGCGCCGGACAACTGCACGCATGTGGGAGGCGGGCACGGGTTTGGGGAGGGGCTGGAGTCGCCGACCGCTCGGCGCGGACGGCGAGTTTCGCCGACCCCGCCGGCACCGGCAGACGGAAGGCGTCGCGTCCCGGCTGGGCACACCTCCCTCACAGGGATCTCGGGTTGAGCGTCTGCCGGCGCCGGCGGGCGGTGCGCTGCAACGCTCACACTAGCAGCGCTGCGACGGGCTGGGGAAGCCGGTGGGTCCAGTCTGTGGCCCCCGCCGCCGGCCGCCGACTGTCAAGGGCGCGGGGCAGCTCTGGGCTGAGTCTCGACAGGGCCCTGCGAGTGGCGTTTTAAAAGCCCGGGCAGACAGCGGAGCTGGCAAACGCTGCGCGGATAGCTGCCATATTGTACCTGGCATACGCGTACGGGCCACCGGCAACAGAGCCGCACAAGCCATGGTCGGAGCGCAGGCCTCACCAAGCAGGATGCCCGCGCCCCAGGACTCCGGGTCCACTAACCTCCACGCCGAGGCGAAGGACTTCGTGCTCCAGGTCCCACTTTTGCGACTCGCACAAGTAGACACGGTCATGGTAATCCTTGCATATGGCGATGAGGTCCTCTACAAAAGACGACACTTGTGAATGGCACTGTGACTGGCAGCGGAACATTTGTACGAGCGTTCTTGGCCCGTTGCCAAGCATCCGCAGACATTTTTGGGTGGACACCTCAGGATACCGTTGTTTCATAACAGCAGCTTTACAGCAGCTTTTCTAGCAGTTTTGACCCCATCGTGCTGAGTGCATCCCGACTGCAAAACGTGCGCATGATACTCTTTGCAAAACGCTTGAAGCTTCACTGTGGCGAAAGAATGGCAAGGAACAGCTAACGATTATTTATCGTATTAAACAGCGCCACGTTTTAGAAACGCAAACACATCTCGTTAATGATGCATTTCACAAACACGCGGTTAAACAGCAGCGTAATAGGAAAGAGCTGTGAATATTCTCGAAGGCACACTGCCGTTAACAGAGGCAGGGAGGCGGGGGACACTGCTAGGTGAAGAACACGACCGATTGAATTTGGACATACACGGCATTATTCAGCTGTGTAGACAGGAACATAAGGGGTTCTTGCCGGCGTCATGTAGACAGCATGATTTGGCAAGCAGAGTGTTAAAGTCACGTCGAGCAGCAACAGGGATTAGTCAGCTACCGACCTGGTGATCTTTCTCCGCCTCTGATCCTCTAGCCTTTCAATCCATGTCCGGTACACTTGGTACAGCTGGGTAACCTCGGCTAGAAATGGGGCATGCACAACTACTATCAACAACAACAATAACCAGCGATCATCTAGCAGGCAAAAGCACGACCAGAAAACCAGCTGATGTGAGGGAATGTAAATGACGATTAAACTCTCTCGAAAAGCCAGCTCTTCGACTTTTAAAGACTGCAAACAACCACAGAGCCGCTGGGCTTCAGGCCGGCGCCGTGATGCTCCGTTAACGGCAATCAGTCCGGCAGCTGGTTTTCCATGGCTGTAGATGATGGCCACATCTAGATGGCCCCATCTAGCTCACTTACTACTAGATGAGCTAGACGATCAGAAACTACGATGAGCTAGATGCGGCGGACTAATTTGACTAGATGTCTGGGTCTCACTCTACCAGTGAAGCACAGTCACAGCGATGTTCATCAACAGATGTGCTATATTGAATACGCTATCGGTAAAAATTGGCGATAATTGTCTACATCTATTAACTATCTTTATGTTTTCTATACTAGAGGCGGATGTCCATATCAAAGCTCTCTTTACAGGAGGGATGCTCTACGACAAATCTACAACCGAGAGAGCCGAAACAATATCCTTTGCGTCATGTTCGATTTAGGATCATGATATGGAATCCTCTCATCCCATGAATAATTTCATGTCATGACTTCACTGTCATTATTACCATCATGCTATGGCTGATATCACTGTGATTGTTTTCAAAAAAGATTAAAGAAGCGGTGAAAGGGCTTGTCTCAGGCATGTTTGAAACCCCACCAAGCTGGAATGCCTCTTGGGGGAAACCTCTACGAGTTACTCGAGTGGTGCAAAATTTTATGTCCATCAGATCGCAATGGTTCTCAGCATCTGTTGGTTATTTCAAAATGTTTTTTGATGCTCATTTTAAAGTAATGACCCTATGGCCTAACATGACGTGAGATTTTTCAAGTTGGCAAAGGATGTTAAGTTTAAAATGTTAACATGGAGAACAATATCACTCATTGAGCAAAAGCAAAGCGCATAAACTTTGCATTATTCTCGTGATGATCGCTTCATTTTCGGCATGCGAGGCTGATATTGCCCCGTTTTGCGGTAAACGGAGATCATTAGCTTGAATGTGTGCGAGAATCGCTTTATAGGACAATATAAACATTTTCAACCTGCCGTGAAACCTTGCGTTTTAAGCGATTCCTGATTCGTTCAAACGTTCATCCTAAAAAGAGACTTGGCGATGCAGAGGTAAGTGCCGCATGCCGACCATTTTGTTTTCGACGACGTTTTCTCCCCCATAAATCAGCATGCTAACTAGGAAGGAGCATGTCCTCGCTCCCCCCCCCCCCCCCCTCCCCCTCTGCGCAAGGTTTGCAGTTACACCCCTACGGCAGGGTTGATGGAAGCGCATTAGTAAAACCAGTGGCGTCTAATCTCAGCGTGAGCTGTTTTTAAAACAAGTGTTTTGTACGATGTTACGATGCATGAGACATCGGATTCGTGTGCTAAATATGTGGGCCCCACTTAGTTCCGATATGAAGATATCTGAAAAATTAAAATAGGGTCGTGTGACTCTCACTGCTATTGGACTGACTGAATTAAAGAGCACCCCAGAAAGACTATGTTTCTTTCACAACCGTGGATCAAAGTTTAGTGTGACGTATTATGGTGCTAACCACACTCTCATGGCAGTAAAACTGCAGTGTTGTGTAACAAGCATGTTGATCATGCTTTTGATGCTGTAAATCTGAGGCATTCATGTGGGAATGAGATGGAATTTTGCCATGCTGCAGCCCTATGCAAAGTATGGGCAGCGTCACAAAAATGTAGCACGCAAGGTATGTAAATACGTTGCAATTTGGGAGGCACTTCTCAGTGAAGAAAGTAAATGGCTGAGCAACATCTATTCCCACAATGTTATAATGAGTACATCATGTCTGGTCATATGGGGGTTAGGTCTACCGTATCACTGTTATCGTGTCTTTCTGAGTGCAGTAAAGTTAAATAATAAAAAACAGACAAAAATACGGCCATTTCCAGGATTGAAACAAACCAAGAAGTGCACTGATGCCTACATAACTTCTTTTTTACTCTTTCAAAGGTTGAAAATTATGTGGGCGAGAACATGTGGGCTCATCGTCGACACGATCCTTTCCTGATTATTATGATGGCCCTGAAGGTCCCTTGTTGGCAAAGAACAAAAAACGATATGGTGAAAACGAAAACAAAAAGACGAGAGGGCTTAGACAACAAACAGTACGCTGGCTTCTATTTCGATTCTTTACCGGTCTTAGTTCAAAAGTCAGTGGACGGGGTGACTGTCAGACCCCTTTTCGTCGGGCGGGGCGGAGGGGGACTGTCACCCCTCCTCCCTTGTCGGGCGGGGCGGGGTGGCTGTCAGCTCACCCACCGCCCTCGTTGGGTGAGGGCGTAAAAAGCGCTCCATCGGGCAAAGGCTAACATTCTCCCAATCTGCCTCTAAATACAGTCATGTTAACACAATGCACTGTTGAAAGCTGAGGTGCGCAACTTCTTGTTCCATTTCTTATGACATATCACATCCATTGCAATATGAATTACCAAAAGCGAAAGAACTGTTGACTGGAAAAATAGCCGGCCAGCACCAGACTTGATCTTGTGCCACCGGGACACTTCCTTTTAAACGAGCACTCGCTAAGCAGGATCTTTGCAGACACATCAGGTAAGTGCTTGTTCTGAAACGTTTAGTTGTCTTAATGTTAACATTTACCAGCGAGTTGTAGGTCATAATCTTCTTCATTAACTTTCAGTTCATAGGTAGCATTTAATCGGCAGCATTAAAAGTGGAATTAGTATTGCATCGCGAACGTACAAAGAAAATCAGTAGCATTAAAAGCAAACCATTCGTTATTTTCTCACGGACAGGTTACCTCCTGATTTTTGCATTTTTGAACATATTGTTGAAGCGTCCCGGAGCTTGAAAGTAGGCGTGTGACATAAGATCGTAGCAAACAACCTCCAAATGCATCTGGTTACAAGTATTGCAATAATAAATGGGGTGGGTCGTTGTAGGTTCAGCTACGCAAAGCTGCGCGCCAAAAACTTTAATTTCTTAATCATTTTGCAAGCCCCTAGAGACCCCTTGTTTGGTGACATTTTAGAAATGCCGAGGCTACAGCTCTATGACCGTGGCTCTGATTTCTCTGACGAATTGTACACACAAACTTAGAGAATTTATAGTCCCAGAATTGCTTAAGTAATTTAACATCCGAAGTATAGGGCTGTCATGCCCCTGTCAATACATGGTGGAATAGACCACTGGCACCCTCTGAGCTCATCACCAACAAGGCGAGACGTTTTCATCCCAGGCACGTGAAAATTAGGCAAATCATTTTACTATTTTAGAAACAGCGTCGTTTTTTACAAATCGTATACGTACCTAAGGTTTGGGCGGCTTGAAACTGGGAAATGTAAGCCCGTAGCCGATGGATCAAGACCAAACATAGGAAAAATAGCTTATCTGAAGGGACATCTGAGCCGACTCGTTTAATCTTTAGTGTAATGCTGTTGGGTTCCATACATTGTCACATGCTGTCCCATTGACCTTCTAATTTAGTATGAGTTTGGTTTGCATACGACAATATAGGTATGCTTCAGCCCCGAGGTGAGATTTCTGACCGCAGATGCACGCAGAAAAGAATATATGGCAACACTTTCCAACATAGAGTTCCTTTTACACGCAGCAATATTGGGACCATGTGAAGGACGAGACCAACCGGCAGTGGACCTGCGATGCAAAACGGACTCCACTGCATAACATCAAGAACAGTCTCCTCCCGTGAAACTGAATAGTAGCATGCTTCACTAGGAAATCAGTTAAAAAATACAAGGTTTTGCACGTGAACTTTATGATATACTGGCATTGTCAGTAAAATACATATTCATTTGCAGCTGTTCAGGCGCACAACTGACGGACTTTTACCTTCACTGGCGTCATCTGTGTTCTTCCGCTGACCGCATCGTTCAATAATTATTCGCCTTCTCTCCTCGGCCTTAACTTCCTGTTCCTTCTTCAGCTCTTCGGCGGCCTTTTTCCGCAGTAGTAGCTAAGAATAATGAACGGGAGTAAAGCCCATGCCATAGCGTATTTCACACGAGTGCATTACAACAGTCGTTTTGTGTGCTTACTCACTGTGGCCAAGTACATTCATTCGGAGATTCGGTCGAAGCCAACCTCCACCACCACTGCAATGACGATCACATACTAATTCGTCGGACTGTCCACGTCAAGACGATCCTGGCTATATGAACCAACCGCATGCAATGTAAGCGTGTAATACTACAAAGCACAGCCTTGCATGTGCATGGATGGCAATAATTTAACGAGTGTGTTTGTGTGTGTGTGTGCGTGTGTGTGTGTGTGCGCGTGTGGTGTGCGTGTAGTGTGCGTGTGGGTTTGTGCGTGTGGTGTGCGTGTAGTGTTCGTTTGGGTGTGTGCGTGTGTGTTCGTGCGTGTGAGTGTGTGTGGTGTGCGATTGTGTGAGCGTGAGTGGGTGGGTGTGCGTGCGGGTGTTCGTGTACGTATGTGTGCGTGTGTGTGTGTGTGTGTGTGTGTGTGTGTGTGTGTGTGTGTGTGTGTGTGTGTGTGTGTGTGTGTGTGTGTGTGTGTGTGTGTGTGTGTGTGTGTGTGTTTGACCGTGTGCGGGTGTCAGACAGAGTGTGCGTTCCCTGACAGAGTGGTCTGCCACACATCCTGTGGCTGACTTCAAATGGGCGCCACACACATTACCCTGCACCGTGATAAGTGAGATATAATGACCGTGTGAGAACAAGGCGAATGCTGCCAATGCAGAGGGAGATGCCTACCCTGAGTTTCTTCTTCCTTTCTGGTGTCATGAAACCTTTCTTGGCCTTCTTGGCAGCGGACGTCTCCTCCAGGCGTTTCCTGACTTCAGCCTTCTTCCTGTCCACCTCGGCTCTTTTCTGTTTCTCCGCCTATGATTCCAGTAAGCTACGTCAGCACAGCTTTCGTGTCGTTGTTAGCTAGGTTGAATGGCTTGTTTCGAGGGTGTTTAAAGAAACTGGTCGGCTTTGCTCCACGCCCAATCGTAAGGTGCTTTGGAACAAATGAGCAGCTTGCCAAGTTGGAATGCAATAAATTGAAATAGATGAATGAATGTGGCGTATCGGTAGCTAATGAGAACGCTGAATGAGTAGATGTTCGAAACGAATACAACGCAAAAGAATAGGATGAGTTTGAACAGAATTCCCATTTCAAATGCATCATTTGATGCCCTGCAAACAAAAAACAATGAACAGCATAGGAGATCTGCTCGCAATGTCCGAAAGAGACCCATTGCAAAATTTTATGTAGCATTTTATGTGTTCTTAAGCTGCTAAGGCCACGTACGCAAATGGTATAGATATTGCATAGGTGTCCTTATCTACATTTTTTTTTAAAACACGGTGAAGAATTTCTCCAGGGTAACGCTCTCTTGAGGCCTAATGTTGATGGTGGACAGCTTCAACTGTCTTAACTGTTTTATTCGTTAAAAGTTGTGTTGAAAACCGAAGCTGTGACAGCCCAGTATGAAAATGTTATGTGTACTCAAAGCGTGTGCCTGTGGGCAATGCGCTGACAACACAGTGTACAGTTTGTCCAGGGAAACGTTCCCGCCGAAGCCTACGTGCCTATGGTGGACAGTGGCACAGATCAGTGCCCATGGTTGTTAGTCAAGACACCAGCACACATCTGGGCACGCAATCCACTGTTAGTCACCCAGCGCTTTTAAGTTTGAACTAACGCTGGCAAGCAGCAACAAACTGTTGCTGCTTCTAACATGCCAACTCTACTCACACCTCACGCTACACATGAAAGCAAGGGAGACGTGGAAGCACTCCAATAGCAGCCATGTACAAGGCAACAGAGCGCGTGCATCGTTTAAATGCACGCAGTCAGAGAGCTGAAACGGTTCTGCTAAATCGTTGCACCTTTGACTCTTGGCCCATGGATTGCAGAGTGATCCAGTGCCTCCCTTTCGTGCTGTAATGGATCCCAGCGACTCACACTTTCATGCACACGTGGGCCAATTGTGTACGCAAGCCTTATACGGCATAAAACATATCGAGCAGGTCGGATCTTTTTTAGCATTGTGACACTTTCAGTTGGACCATCAGGGCAGGGCGAAAAACTGTTGGCAGGGAGGTCATTTGTGAACGTTCTGAAACTCCGTATGCATTGCATGCCTGACTGCTAGACTACTTAACTATGGTAAAACACTAGATGCTAAACATACCGTTTTTAAAGTGTCACGCGGGCTGAAACTAATGATGTGAAGATAGCCATGGGAGACATGTGATGACGTGCCACACATACGTAGGTGGCGCATACCAGCGCCACTCAGGTTAGTAGTTTGATAGCCGTAGGATGCATGTCTGCCTCATACCTGGACTCGGGTCCGATGACTAGAAAATTTTCGAAAGCTCGCTTAGTGGATGCCTCAGGAACCAATTCTTACACTTCAACAGCTTAATAGATTCGAGTAGATCATGACTCAAAATATTTGAGCGCTGAATCATAACTCGAATCACACTCACTTTTAGAAAAGTGATTCAACTTGCTGTGATTTAGTGAAATTGACACGACTGGAGCCGACTCTGATTGTGAATGAAGCAAACTAGGGTCTGAATAATGGCTGAAATCAGCACGACGCGAATCAAAGTGAACAAACCAAAGCCAGAACACATTGCAACGCCTCGAACTTCAGAAACTGGTGAAATCTAATGGCTCAGCTGTAAAGGAGCCCATTACCACTCCATTATTTGTAAGTTTATGGGATTACAGCATTCAGCACGTCAACAATGTGCTTGAAAGCCGCGGCTGCTCCTCTTTCTGAAATGGCTTACAACCTGCAATACATCTTTCTAAGCTTTTGCATTTATGCATTGGGCCATATGGTGTGTCGCCACTGGATGCAACTAGGCTCTCACCAATTGCAAGAAGTGTTGGGACTTATCTTGTCATTCGTTTTTATCAGACATTGAAGCCGTCCTTCTTTCGATCCCCGGCAGCACTCATAGATTGACGGTGATCAAAGTTGATTCGATGTAGATTTCACAAGAATACAATATTGGCTCGGATTTAAAAAGTTAGGGATTTGAACCAATTTGATTTGCTGGACAAATTGGTGATCGCAATGCGGTTCTGAATACAGCTGGAAGTGCTGGTACCCGTCCTTATCGTTAAGGCCAAAACCTAGTAAAGTTTATTGATCCTTAAGAGAGAGTATTGAGACTGGCAACAAGGCTACGTGGATGAGAAGAAAGATTCCGCGGCTTTCTATGCATTTGGGTGGACGTGACTTTTCACCGTGTTCAATCCATGAACACCTTACAGAAGCAGTAAACGGTTTTTACACGATATACCTGCGATACACAGGCGCCTCTTACTCCGATGTTGATAAGAATTGGATCACGATCCCCAAAGCCCAAACTGCACGCTGCCACTAACCAGCGCTATGTGTTATATCAAGGCACAACGAAATCAAGTTAAAGAAATACTCTTAGGAAACGCTTGGATTGAACCGTCAACTCTGCGTACCTTTTTCGCTGACATGTGACATTACCAATTAGGTTTATTCTTCTTCCACACCAATGGAGATCAGTTCTTTGCACAATATACGAGATATTGTTTAGAGTTTGAAACAGCTTTCGGAGAAAATGGTCTGCAAATAGAAACAGCTTACGCGAAACATGATTCAGATAAGTGGACCCGCTTTAACATCCAGTACGTTTCGGCAGATGTTAGTAAAACGACACGCCACACTTACTGCCATCACACGTCTACGTGCCTCAGCTGCCTTCTGGGCCTGAAATGTCACAAGGCGGGCTGGTGAGACGGCACGCACACTCTCCCACCTCTGCTCTACTTCAGACCGTACGCGCGCATCACACTAACGCACCCACGCCGTGCGGAGAGAAAGCCGAGCCCAATGCGATCATTGGCCGTCCAACACAACTCGTGGCACTACGTCATTGCTACAGCTGCTGGTTGGCGATGACTGGCTAGTTCTGACATGACTCGGTTGAGCGGCCCTTGCCGCCACACGTAGGGCTAGACCGGGCGCACGGTCTACGTCGTCGCTATAGCAGGCCAACCGGTGGCGCTAGGACAGACGGCGGGACGTCTGAGAATCGGTAAGGATTCCACGCACTGAACCGCCAGCCAGCGGTGAATGATTGAACCGGAGCTGCTCCAATCACAATACCCGACGTTCGCAAAATTAAGCAGCAGCTACCATTAAGCTCGCATGACGCGGGGCGTTTGACGGTGGGCGGGTGCCCGTTTTAGGGGCGCTGGTTTGCGTTGGTTCAGTGTGTGGCCACCCTGGCGCTACGGTAAGCGCAAGTCACGTGCAGCCGGTGGCGGCGGATGGCCGGCGCCCTCACCTGTCCGTCATCCTCCTCCTCCTCCTCCTCCGAGCTGCAGGGCAGGACGAGAGGTCCGGTTAGTTCCACATGGTAGCTGTCAGTAGACGAGAGGCATCGCACGGTGTCGACACCCACCGGCGCGCCCTTGCGATAGAGCATCAGCGCAGCTGCGTTTCAGCCTCCTGACACTGTCAACAGTCGTCGTCGAGGCCTGGAGAACGCGCACGCTGCACACCCGAAGCGGCTTCCGACGGCTGACCTGCCCCAGGACGCACGAACGGGCGGGTTAGTAGAGGTGGGCTGTGCTGACAACATGCGTGTGAGGCGGCACAGCGTGAGGCGATTTGTCAGGCGGCGGCGGCGCTCTGGGCTGCCACGGAGGCGGCCACCGGCAGAGCCGGGGGTCCGGCGGGCCACGGGCGCTGTCGGTCTGTTAGAGGCCAGGACGCGCGCTCGGCACCGGAGCTGTGAACAGCATGCCTCCGAGAGCCTACCTCGCCGACCTCGTCCTCGGAGCTGTGCAGGTAAGGTCCTGTTGGCGACGGTGCGGTTCAGAGCAGGCATACGAACCGGGACGCGATCCAGGTCGACAATATGTGCGCTATAACAAAGGCAGAGGACTGGCTCTGCATGGGGCAGCGGGCCGACTGGCCTTGAACGGTGACGAAATCCAGGTCGGGCAGCGATAAGCTTGTCGAACAGCGACACGCGTTCGGGTGGGGGTGGGAGTCACTTTGACCTCTTCGAAGGTTTTTTCCAAAATAACCTCCGAATGGGGCAGCGTTTGGAAACTTGCGCTATGGGGTGGTTATTGACACTTATTTCGAATTCTTCGATCAACACCCGTAACACGACACACACACAACACACAACACACAACGCGACAGCACCCGTTGCTGGACCAGCGTCCACACCAAGCAGTGCCTGTTGAGTAAGCCCTGAACCAAGCACCCGACCGTTATGATCCGGGTTAGCTACATATTTTGATAAGACAGCTTAAGCTTCGTCCTGATTCGACGTCTTCGCAACGCAGACTGAAAGGGAGGGGGAGGGGCGGTGCCTCCCCTCAGCCATTTACGAACTAAGGAGGACAGAGCCGCACGGAAAACCCGTGGATTGTATCTAATGGGCTCCCGTGATTGGTGACACGGCTCATGTCGGATGATGTGTGTATGTTATTTGACGGCCCTTGATTTACAGGCCGAGGCCGGCTATCGTAGGGCTCGTTTGGAGCTCGAGCAGTGGTGTTGTCAGTTATATTCACGGAAAAGTACGCGTTTGTGCTAGATGCTTCATGGACATTTTTGACAACTGTGACTTTTACAGCAGTCATCTGATAGGTTTCTTTCTGCAACACGCGGTGCATACTATATTCGTATCGACAAAGTCTTCGTCTTAGTCGTCACCTTCACACAAGGTTTCAGAAATCCGTTCACCACGTTGGCGTGCCTCAAATACCATCGGATTGGCTGCAGTTTCAGCATTCACCAAAACAATTTCCAATGCTGTTGGGCTCTTACAACTACACGGGACAGCGGTCATGGCTAAGAACTACTGCAGATTCGAATGAGGGGAAATGCTGTCTACGCGATGCATTCAGATTCAGATTGCGTGAGCGGCAGTGCGGGTTAATGGTGTAATTAAAGATCTCATGCGCCAGGTCCCTTACAAATCGACAAAATTTAAAAAAACATTTTACTCTGTTGCCTCCAATTGTGACACACCCTCGCTCGAAATATAATTTTCCTTTCAGATCATTTTCTAGCTCAGAAATTCCACCTTTCAACATTCTGAGAAACACCTGAAAACCGTCAAATTGCTCTGCCTGCGAGTGCAAGTGTGCGGCCGCGTGCATCGATGAACACTTGGCATATATGATTGCGCGTTCTTTTCCGCGTCTAAAGGTGTTGATTCCATTCGTGCGACCTTCTGTTCCCCGGGCAACGTACTCGCTTTCGTCACGCTTTTGGCAAATTATGTCAAGTTGCGAATTTCGTGCTTCTCTTGTTAAGCCGATCGGGGCACGTCTGCACGCGTTAACGGGAACCCGTCGGTCTGATCTCGCTTAGATTTGATACGATGATGCAATCCTGCTGGCGTTACCGCACATCAAATTTCGCGTGGCCAGCTGCGATGGGGCACTGCTGGTCGAAGGTCTGAAGCGCTACGTGATTGCGATGCGATAGTTGATCTGGTTAAATGTGCCCTATTCCTAAACGAGGCAATTTAAAGGAAAGACAGTTATTGGAAGCCTCGCGAGTTCGCTGGTCGCTTCAAGAACGCCTCAAAGAAGGATCAGAGTTTAGTTCTTTTGGGAACACGGTTCCATGCAGCCGTTTCTCGTGGATCATCACTAGTCGAGCGGTCACCATTAAGAACACAATCCAGAGTCAGAAACCGCGATACACGTGCAGAGCTACCGCGAGTCTGGCTGTTCACCTATTCGCAGCGAGAAAACCGGTATGTAGACACAGAGTGGGAACGGCCCTGGCTGCTCACCTTCCACGATCAGCCGGCAGTGGCAGCGAAGTCGCTACGAGCTAGACCTCGATCGCCTCCCGATTGAGGATCTTATGGAGCGGATCTCGCAGAGGAGGAATGAGAGGGCACTCAGGAGGCTCGCCTCCAACAAACGACAAGAATATCACCTATTATTTGCACAGATGTAATGCGTCTCTATTGCTGTCATTGCTTTCTCGTGAAATAAATGCATATCTCCACAAATCTGAGGAGGAAGCATGCCCAAGAGCACCACATAACGTATTCCTGATATCTGCCCTCATGACTCAGGTCTTGTTTTCGTCGTTGCCAATGCCGGTCACGCTGTCGGCGTGCCTAGCGCCGGTGGCGAGCTGGGCCGTCCAGAGACGGTCAGCTGAACTGGGCGCCCCCTTACGCTGACCCCGGGGTGCCGCGAGTGCCGGAATGGGGCCGCCTCGCTGTGCCGGAATGTGCGGTCCGCGCCGCCGATCGGCCGGCCACCGACCCCCGAAATAGCCGGCCCTGGCGGCGCCAGACGCCACCGCGCCGTCGGCGGAGGGCACCGCGCGGAGGCCTGTGCGTCGCGCGTGACGGGAAGGCATCGCAATGGGCACCACACAAGGGAGCAGGGCACGGTACAGGGCGCCTCGCTGAACACCGCACACAACACTACACAGGGCAGCAGGGCACGGTACAGGGCGCCTCACTGAGCACCGCACGGAACACTACACACGGCAGCAGGGCACTGCACCGGGCACCTCACTGAGCACCGCACACAACACTACACAGGGCAGCAGGGCACGGTACAGGGCACCTCACTGAGCACCGCACACAACACAACACAGGGCAGCAGGGCACGGTGCAGGGCACCTCACTGAACACCGCGCTGTAAAGCATATACTTCTCCCCCCCCCCCCCTCCCCGGCATTCTGCCGCCTTTAAGGGATTACGTGTTTCAAACCAGAGGCCCATAAAGAGAAACATGGCGGTTAGTCAATATGTTGGGCTCTTACATGGTTGAACGCGCAATCATATATGCCAAGTGTTCATCGACGCACGCGGCCGCACACTTGCACTCGCAGGCAGAGCAATTTGACGGTTTCCAGGTGTTTCTCAGAATGTTGACAGGTGGAATTTCTGAGCTAGAAAATGATCTGAATGGAAAATTATATTTCGGGCGAGGGTGTGTCACAATTGGAGGCAGCAGAGTAAAATGTTGTTTTTTAATTTTGTCGATTTGTAAGGGACCTGGCGCATGGGATCTTTAATTGCACCATTAACCCGCACTGCCGCTATTTCCGTTGCCGTTTCCGCTAGTTGCCGCACAGGCCAACTATTTCCTACAATTTTCACTCGTGTTTATGTACGAATGATTGTTTGTGAGAAAGTTCGTCAAACATGTCGGTAAAAAATGTTTATCCAGATCCAAACGCTCTGAGAGGAAATGTTATACCTCACGCGTGCTAGTGGAAAACGGAAATCCAGCATCTGTCAAAATATTTCTTACGCTGAGCACGAAACCCAAGCTGCTGTGTACAACCAGCAACGAAATTCCATATAGCACCTGTCCGTTGCATTCATCATCGAAGACAACTATTGAAAAATGGCATTTTGGGGTTTCAAAATTGTCCGGAAGAGAAATCAGATGCCTGGCCAAAGCCTGTTTGTATTTGAGTCTATAGGCGAGATTAAGCTATTGTAAATTTTGCCAATGTGTAAGCGGGCTCACCTTCTAGCCCCTTGTGTGCAGCCTTGAATATCTATGCCCCCTGTGGAAATCTGAATCTAAATCTGAGCGTACTGCGTAGAACGTCATTAGCCCAGTGCCACCGCGGTTGGCTCTTAGCCACAAGTGCCTGCGCGTTTAGTTACAATAAAGTTTGTGACCGGATCCGACTGACGGCACGCCGTTGGCAAATGCAGACGTCACCCAAATACGGCAACGGCCGGCTTTGACATTTAATAGCACGTGCTGTAGTGGACTTTCAGCTTTTCAACCAAGGTGACCTCAAATAGAATGTGGCTAGATGAGCACTAAGTGGGACAATGATCGTGAGATCGGCTGGATTAGGTTGTCAAAAATGTGCTCCTCATCTAAACAAAGTATGTGACTATTAGAACGAAGAAATACTTGGAAATCAGACTAAAGCGGTACCCTTTAGCGAATTATGCAACGTGCAATGCTGGCCTCGGAGTAGATATAAATTTCACATTTACCTACTACACTTACAGACATCAGTTTATATTTGATCCTATGGCCAAGGATTGTAACCAAGGCTCTTTCCAAAATACATCTTATTAAATGACTGTTTTAAGGTTTTACACTATAACCGTAGAGGGGACGTTCGTGATTAAATTTCAAACCCATATTGTTTTACATTGCACAAGCACCAAACCATCTTATAATTGGAATTATAGAATCCATTTGCTGCTTTTATGTGTCAGTGAGGTCGCATGTTAAGCTTCCTTTTACATTTTCTAATAAGATGAAGTGAAATCAAGCGGGCAAGGCTCGCACGCGCGCGCAGTGCACGCACGTCGGAATCACAATGTTGATATGAATCACGAAGTGATTGGACGACTGCTTACCTGTACTCTTCGTCGTCAGACATGTTGAGCTACTGGTGAGGTGACCGAAGCCTGCAACAAACATATCAATGAGTTAGCTTCTTGAAAGGGATAAAGACTACTGAGGCTGAGATTCTCTCACAAGTACGTAGTTGTTCATGTTGTGAGGCTTTGAAAAAATACACGCAGGCAAGCACATAAGAACAGGCACGATACTTGGCTCAGCGTGCTGTTTTCCGCTTCAATGCATACTATTTCAACGACAGGCATTGCGCTGATGCGATGTAATAGTATGCGATAAGCATACTAATCCAACGACAGGCACTGCGCTCCTGCGAAAGCCGCGCTAAATGAAGGACGAGTCGCACTGTAAGTCAGACGTATCTACAACTGTGTGTGACCAAGCAGGTTACAGCTGGTCCGATGGCAGGCAGTATTTCTATGACTGATACCACACAAACGCAGCCAGTAACAGCGCTGCCGGTGCGTTCAGAAGAGGATTTCAGGGTCAGACCAAAGGTCGTTGGCTTTGCCACGAGGCGAAGGTTGTAGAAGCATGGAGGTCTTAAAAACTGTTTTTCCTACAGCCCCATATGACAAGAAATGCTTATCCTCGCAATGTTGGGTGTAACACTTCAACTCGCACTTGCGGAATATTGAGGGCGGTGAGTGTATCGGTCATACCCCTCCCCGAAACACTCGGAAACGGTCCATCGCGTCTTTTGGCTCCTCAAATCGATTTGCGTTCAGAGTTATACAAGAATAGGGAGTTAAGAGTTATATAGGAAACAGTCATAGAAAAAACGGCCTTCGGGATGACAAAAAGATTAAACTTTCACACATCTTCGGCGCGAAATGAATACTGTTTAATCGTCCTGAACTCCTCAAGTCTTCATGCAAGCTGTATCAGTAGCGGTGCAATCTGCACATGTAGTAGTGCACATATTGCATAGTTAGTGCAAAACCTAATAACAGAGCTCACATTGGCTTTAAACTGCACTGAAACAAGGCCTGACCAATGAGTGCTGTTCGCCCATCCGAAAACAGGGCAGGGTAGAATGAACTTCAGCTTTGTGCTCCGAAACCGGTGGGTTTTGCATCCCTTTGACTCCAGAAAGCAAGCAGTTTGAATACCTAGATCTCAAATTTCACCTCCACCTCTGGTCGCAAAAAGTCGACATCGTTTTACTTGCCTTTAACATCATTAAAAGAGACTGGTCCATATTTGAAGACATTGGGACATGCACCAGATAAGATGGGAAAAGCTCACTTATAACTATTGGTATGTTTGAGATGCAAAAGACTGCTGTAACAACTTTAGTAGACCTTAAATGTCATCACCATTACGTCATGATCGGATCATCATTACGTCATTACGCCATCATCATTACGTCACGATTTTATTAAGTCACAAGACGGTTTTATGATGTCAGAGGTCAGAGTTGCCACTGCAGCCGATGACGTGACTTGCTGGTGGTAGTTCTACGTGCCGCAAGGTGGCGTTGTTGATTTGTGTTTGTGGGCTCAACGCACGAGCGTGATGTGCGTGTGTTTTGAGCTTGCCTCGTGATGTTTCCACAAGTTTGTCCGTGATGGCATCTTCTTGCTTGAACTGACATTTTTGGTTACTGCGCTGTCCTTGAGTCTTACTGCGATTCTCAGCCCCATGCATGTCATATTTAGATAATTGTCAAAAGGTCTATGTTAGTTATGACGGAGAGTTCCAGACATGCGATAAGCAGCTGACTGTCAGTCAACTGAACTCTGTCGTTGCGATGCTGGTTTGGTGAGTGTGTGGCATGTGTGGCATGATTGTTTGTCAACAATCTTAAGAAGGCAATTGCTGTTGGACAACATTTGCTTTGTTTTCATCGGCTCTACGTGCGGAAATTTCCATGATAGGCAATGTTTTGTCATCCCGTTTACACAAGCTCCTGTGATGCTTGGGTTGTATCTATTGGGAAAGTGACTCGAATTTTAACGGATGCATTGATGACACGCGAAGTAGCCCAACAAATGTATGTATGTATATGTATGCGTACGTTTACATATAAAAACTTGATACATACATATATATATATATATATATATATATATATATATATATCTATATCTACATATCTACACGTGCATGTGAATATGCAGGATACATATCCATACATCTTTTGCTTTTGACTCGGACATACAAGCCAATGAAAAGGTCATCCCGCCAATTGTAAGAGGACATTGTAAGCCAGGGTCCCCAGTGATCAGCTGAGGTCAGTTATGGCTGAAACGCGTGATGCCCTGGCAGCAGGGTGCTGCTGGCGCTGCCGAGGCCTCTCTGGGCCTGCCGGGGCCTCTTGTACGCACACGCGGTATGTGCTGCGGCGGCAGTGTCCAATGTTGCCACCTCCCGCCCACCTTTCGCCCCCCCCCCCCCCCCTCTCCCTCCCCGTCTGACCGGGTCATTGACAATAGCGACTCCCTGTGATCGGCCCTTCCCGGTCGCGGTGACAGCTTTGCTCCTGCTTAGTGGAGCTCTGGGGCGAGTGCGTCAGTACATGCACAACGAGCACCCTGCCTTTTGTAAAAGCCTTACTTCGGTCATTAACTGACGGCTCGACGACGTTCTAACCGGGTGATGGTGGCGCCGTTAATAAAAGAGCGGAGCGACATGTAGAGTAGTACTCAGCGTCTGACGCGATCCAACATGGTCAGCTCTCAAGAATTTTCACATGGCATCGTTTACTTTCGTAATGCAAAGCACACGGTTTACAGAAAACCGATGAACGTCAAGACAGCCGCAGCACCTGATATACGACAAATCAACAACCCAAACAGTGCAAGATGCATCCTAATACTACCAGAAATTAAGACATAGCGTCTTATGTTGTACCGGATACGCCGGGTAGAAATGGAGGCGATGACTTCATTCGGCGTATCGGGAATGGCTGAGAGGCTGCATCTTCGGCAGTTAAACCATTATCGGGGAGTGGCACGAAATAGACCGCACAGAGTACTCTAAAAACTGCTCTGCTCTACTCTACAAACTGCTCTAAACAAACAGCTCTGAATAAAAATAAATTATCGCCAAATAAATTTTGAACAATTACGTAATGAAGCGTTGTTATGATGCCAAAGTCCCCACCAGAATTGTCACGTCAAATTTGCCGCTGTGGCGGGCGGCGACTCACTTGTGGTAGTTATACGCGCCACACGGTGAAATTATTTATTTATGCGCGTGAATTCAATGTGCAAACGTAGGTGTGTATTTTTTTATCTTGCATCGTGCTGTTCATGCATATTTTGCCGTGATAACATCTATTTTGTGCCTATTGGAATCTGTGTTGCTACGTTATCGATTTTCAGCCTCATTTCCGTCATATCTAGGCAAGTGCCCAAATGTTTCTGCTAGTTATGGCG